AAATCAAAGGAACAGTCAGCATCAAGCAGCACGAGAAGGAAGGCAACACCGTCATCTGCACTTACTGCAAGACACCAGGGCACGAGAAAGACAGGTGCTACAAACTACAACGCAGGGAACTGTTGCAGTCAACCTCCAAGACGAAGCCTTCGTCCTCACCGAGCATCCCAGTGGCAACCGTGACAGCCGATGAGTCAGCTGACGACGACAACACGGTGATAGCGCACGTGCAATCTAACGAGAAAAATATATATATTCAAAGCTTGGCTTTACAGGTTAGTTATCTTAACAATTCCGTCTGCAATCTAAGGGCATTAGTTGATACCGGGAGCCCAATATCGTTTGTAAAATACACTACTTACAAAAGTTTTTTTAAAAATAATGCAATCAAGAGTAACGTACCAACACTCACCTATCGAGCGTTGAACGGTGAGCCGGTGAGAATACTCGGTGCCGTTGACACAACGATCGTTCTTGCGCAACTTGAATTAAGTCTAAGCATAACGCTAAACGTTATAGACAATGTTAGTTTTTACACCGATCTGATCGTGGGTCGGAATTTTCTAGATTCACACAAAATTACGGCGATATACAATCCGGCGAAATCGACAGATGTTTCGCGCATTAACGCGTTCCCCGAAACGTTACTGCACATTTTAGCATGCGCCGAAAATAGCAGCGTATCAAATCGTTACGAGGGAATCGAAACCGATTTCGATTCACAGAGTACGGAAGCTCTGAAAAAACTACTGCTCGAAATTGACTCAGAAGATGTGGAAATAATAAACGATAATTATAAAGTTAAAATTCGTCTCAAAGACGAATCTATTTTTGCGTACGCTCCTCGTCGCTTCGCGCACGGAGAAAAAGAACAAATACAAATTATCACCAAAGATCTTCTGAATCGAGGAATAATTTCGAGAAGCAGTTCACCGTATTGCGCAAGAGTAGTACCGGTGAAGAGGAAAGACGGTCGCCTCCGTCTTTGTGTCGATTTACGACCGTTAAATCAAAGGGTCGAAAAACAGAAATATCCGTTTCCTATTATAGAGGACTGTATAGCTCTCCTGGGAAACAAACAAGTTTTCACTCTCCTCGATCTCAAAGATGGTTTTCATCAGATAAAGGTCGACGAGAGACACACAAAATATTTTGCCTTCGCAACACACGAAGGACAATTCGAATATAATCGGTTACCTTTCGGATTTAGCGAGTCGCCAGCCGAATTTCAAAAACGGCTAGTTCACATATTGACGCCGCTTATTCACGAAAATAAGGTCATCGTGTATATTGACGATATAATGATCGCGACAAACGATGTCGAAACGAATGTAGCAACACTTCGCAAAGTCATGAAAATATTGAAACGCTACGGTTTCGAACTCAATATTTCAAAATGTAAATTCCTTCGCAAACAAATAGAATACTTAGGATATGTTATTACTAACAATCAAATTACAATTAGCTCAAGGCATACCGATGCCATCAGACAATTTCCACAGCCGCGAAACGTACATGAAGTCCAACGATTTCTAGGACTGACAAATTTTTTTAGAAAGTTCATAAAGGATTTCACAATAAAATCGACACCGATTAGAAATCTACTTCGTAAAACAGTTAAGTTTAACTTTGATCATAACTGCATTAAAGCTTTTGAAACGCTAAAAGAAGAGTTGACATCGCAACCCGTTTTAGCGTTGTATAACTCTGCGGCTGAGACACAATTGCATACCGATGCCAGCGCCATAGGTTTAGGCGGTATACTGTTACAGAAACAGTTAAATGGTGATTGGAAACCGATAGCATATTACAGCCAATCAACCAATCAAGCTGAACGAAATTATCATAGTTTCGAACTAGAGATGTTAGCCATCGTTAAATCGGTTGAACGTTTTCAT